ATTCCATGTTCTCTGTGTGGCTGGTGCTCAGCACATCACTCTGGGCTTGCTGATGTTCACGGTAATGAGTGTGAGAGTCTGCATGATGCACGAGGGCATCCCCAAGGACCTCCAACCGCTGCCCAGAGCCTGCTCACCTTCCCAGCATCCGTCAGAATGAAAGGGAAGGTCTGCAGGATGTGAGCACCGGGCGGAGGTCACACACAAAGCCTGGAGAAAGCCCCCATGTCACTCCGCTGCCCCCGCCACTTACTGTGACCTGGTTTAACTTAACAACCCCCGCCTCCCACTGTCATGGAGAGCAGGGCTCTGGAGATCGGCGGCGTCCCGGAGCAAGGGCAGCCCTCTTGCCGTCGTGAACAGAGAGACCTGGAGCTGCAGCTGCCCAAGAGGTCTGAGGCCTGCAGGCCACCACCCTTCAGCAAACCACCTTCCAGGCTGGGAGCTGCCCCAACCCAGAGGCCCTGCGAGGGAGCCTCTCAGCAACCACCTCTGGAGACTCTCCTGGCAGCCCTGGTTTCCTGTCAACTGGGGAAACGTCCCCTCGCTGGGACATTTCTCCGACACTGCTCTCCTTGGGTGCTGCTTCTGGCTCAGACCTCTGGCTCCTGGGTCTGGCCTCACATTCGTCCGGCCCCCAGGGGAAGGGGAATGAGGAGCACAGGGGCTGTCCTTCCCCTTGGCTTCTCCTCCAATGAGGTCAAGTGTCCTCACTTAATCCTGACCCTCCCCAGCACGGTTCCGCTCCCTCCTGCCTCGGAGGGACGCAGGCTCAGCGTGCACGCGGGTCACCCAGGCCACTCGTCTCGCATGTGGGAACTCGGAGTTGGCAGGTCTGGGCTGGGGCCGGGAACATGTGTGCTCACCAGCTCCTCGGGTGATCCCAGCAGGTTATCTGGATGCACCCTGAGAGACACTTATTTTGAAAGACAAATTGTTGAAAGAGAAGCCTAGTTTTCAACTAGTGTGAGGGGTACGATAGAAGGTGAGCCAGGAAGGAAGGAGAAGACGTCTTTCTGGAGCACCTCCTGGTCATGTGTTCATTCTCTCTGGACCCCTGACCTTCCCGGGCGGTGCAGTCCCACCTTCCTACGTCCTCCTCAAACAAAGACCCCTGGGCCCTGGAGGAGTGGTCACTGGCTCAAGAAGCGGAAGGCACATCTGTTTGGGTCTAAGTGGCTCTCAGAGTTCCCTTCTACGATTCTCCTATGATCACAGACTGGTCCACACCCCACGGTGCTGCGGCACTGGGTACAAAGCCCAGGTCACTGCACCAGTCCTCGCCCAGCCCACCCTTCTGTGGCCAGAGCATCGGGCCCCGGGCCCCGGGCTACAGGGAGAGGCCACCTCGCTGTTCCCGTAGCTCCCGCCTTCCTGTAGCCTCTCTCAGGTGGTCTGATGGCCGCCTGCTCATTTGTCCACCTCCTCTGATAGAGTATTAGTTCTTAAGGCAGGGACACTTTCTGTCTTGTTTACCTTTGTGTCATCGCCCCAGCAAACTGCCTGGTTATGAGACAGGCACTCAGAAAACGTTTATTCAAACAGCAATGACACTTACTGACTGAGCACTGAGAAAGGGCTGGGTGCTTTGCAGTCATTAACCAACCAGCCCCCACAAAATCCTCTAAGGTTATGAGTACCCCCACCTTACAGGTGAGGAGACCAAGGCTGAAAAAGGAAAAAGCTTATTCAAGACCACACAGCTAGTAAGGGGCAGAGTGGGATGGATCCATCCCTGCTCACCAGGTCTCTGCCGTCCATACTCCTAAGACCCTCTTCCCGAACTCCATGGGGTTGAATTCTGCAGCAGAGGGTTGTCCTCAGGGGACTCTGGGGCCTCAGTTCCCTGGGCTGCCCGGGAGGGGTCCTCTCCCCTGGCCTGGGAGGGGAAAGGGCCCCTCCCTGTTCCACCTCGAGGTCTTTGCTAAGTGCTGGCACTGAAGACCTCTTAACATGAGACAAACTCTGGGTCCCCTCCCTTCTGCAGGAAACTGACTCAGAGCATCACAGGGGACACAGGAATACCACAGACGTTGAGAACATTCTGGGAGTGAAGCTGTGGACATTGAGAAGTCCAGCCTTTCCCTTCCAGGCCTTCCTTCCTGTTCGCCTGTCGGGAGAGGACCACACCCCACTGGTGCTGGGAGACACTCCGCAGGCCGGGAGTGCAGACCCCTCAGAGGACAGTCATTTCCCAACTGTGGATGGGAGGCTGAGGGAGGCGGGGAAGAGCCCTGTGAAAACTGAAACCAAGTCGCAGAGGCCCAAGGATGGAGGAAGCCCGCCCTGCTGGACAAATGGGAGGTTGGCCCCATAGTGTCCCTCGGGCCCTCTCCACCCCAGGGCGCTGGGGGAGGCTGGCTCCCCTGCTGGGTTATGTACTGCCCACTGTTACGGGCCAGCTTCAGGCATGTGCTGATTCCTCCAGGAGCTGCCTAAAGGTTAATAGCCTTAGTTTCCAGAAAAAAGGCGGGGGGAATGGCCTTGAAGAGGTAGGTTTGGAGGAGGCACCAGCATGCCTCAGGGCAGCAGCACACAGCCCTGCGAGGTGGGAGTGGAAATGGACGGAAAGTGGGAAGCTGGCCCAGCCTGGCAGGGGGGAGGCCCAGGTGGTGGGCAGTGGGCTCTGCTCCTCGAGAGGATAGACGGATGGACAGACTGCAGCCAGAGTCCTGCAGGAAAGTGCCACTTTTGCCCAGCCTGGTCCGAGCTGGGCTCTGCAGCCATGCAGCTGCTCGGAATGGTCACCAGCAGGCTCTCAGCTCTGGCCCCTCAGGCCTGCTGGTCATGGTTCTGAGGAATCCAGAGGAGCAGCCTTGAGACACAGCGGGGACAGGGACGGCAATGGCTGCATTCAGAGGTTTGGTCTCGCACTGGCCTGACCACGGAAGCGTTTATTTCTACCTGGGTAGGTTCAGCGTCTGATCACTGAAATGGCAGGGGCTTCCCACTGGTTTCCATGGAAACATTAGGCCGAGCATCTGCTACCTGATCAGACAAGGCTAGGCTAGGTAGGACTCTTTCCGGAATGATGTTACTGTTTCCATCCAGGAAGATGGTACCACCTGCATTTTTACCACTGCCCCGTGTGGTGGAGATGACGGGCAGTCAGAGGGCAGGGCTGGCACTCAGGGAAGGTGAAGGCGCTGGCAAAAGGCAAGCATTTGGAGAAGCCCCTTGGTTTCCATTTCGAAGCCCCAAGTCATGTCCCTCAGTGAGGTCACAGGAGCCTGGGCTCTGGTCCCAGCAGCAGGCCCACCTGCTGGCTCCCTCCTGAGCCCCCCAGGGCACAGGCTGAGGAGCAAGCTCTCAGGTGCAGGAAGGGGTTAGACTTGTTCACAGAGAGGCCCCAACTCCCTTCCCTTCGGGCAGGGTAGGGTGGCGCTGAAGGGCTGGACTCTGGAGTCAGAGAGGAAGGCGCTGGTGCTCGTGTACGTGTGAGAAGTGGTTTATTCCACCTGTGTGTTTCATAAAGACGAGGTCCTCAAGGACAGCTAGTGGCACATGCTTTGGTCAAGAAGAAGAAAAGCAAAAACAGAATAGGACTGAGTCCCACAAATGATGGCCAACAAGTTGCTGAACCTGGTCTGACCACAGGGAAGGAGGGGCCCCTCTAAGGCTCTCTGAGCAGCTGACCTCTTACATTCAAGAGAAGCCCTCGCTCCCCATCCCCCAAGGTCCACGCTGCCCGCCAGGGTGGACACGCACCACGGAGATGGCAGTGAATGAAGCATCACAACAGAGGCGGGTGAAGGCGGCCCCGCGCTGGTGCGCCTGCAGGGTGCGCTCTGGGGCACAGGGGCACCACCGAGAGGGCCCGGTGAGAGCCAGGAGGGGAGAGGAACCACTGAGAACCTCCACGGTGGGTCTGTGGACCAGGGACCCTGGGCTCCTGGCCCTAAGGGCTGCATGGAGGGAGCAGGCAACAGCAGTTAGGCACACCACGGAGAGAGGGGACGCAGCTCGGGCGGATGGTAGCTCCGCTCCAAGCAGAGCTTCAGACCCTTCTCTGTAAAGAGCTGGAGAAGTCCATAGACCCTCTCCCCAGGAAAATGCATATATGCACACACATGCACTATTTGGGGGACAATTTCTGGAGATTCCTTGGCCCTCTGGAATCCATGAACTCCCAAGGGGTTTCAGGCTAGTTTGCTTTGGGAGGAGGACCCCTAAGGGTCCTGGTACCACCAGTCTTTTGCCCAGATCACACTGCCTGAGCCAGGGGGGTGGGAGAAGAGGAATCCGGGGAATAACAGAAGTCGTTCCAAGACCCGGCCGTGGGGTAGGGGGAAGGCCCATGCTGTGAGAAGTAACGGGACCTCGCTACACAATCCCAGCCGGCCTCCTGCCACTGCAGTGACCGACCCTCGAGGGCCTCCTCCTGTAGTGGGGAGGGGTGAGCCGAGGCTTAGTCTGGATGACCTACTGCCTAATGACCTAGGGCATGTCGATGCTCCAGAAAGGAGGTCCCGTTCTCACGGGCCGCCCCGATTCCATACTGCTGTATGTACAGAGGCAAGGGCTTTTGAGAAGGGAGGTGTCAAAAACTAGGAATGAAGATGGGAGCTCAGTGGTGCATGGTGGCTGCCTGTCCTATGGGGTCCTCGTGGTGGGCCCAGGCAGGGCACTGGGTACCAGCAGGTCATCAGGGCCCAAGGGACAGGTCTTGTCACACGGCCAAACAGAAGTGGGGTCTGTTTAATAAACCGTGTCCCGAGGCTGCCCCTGAGCATCACCCTGCTGCTTCCTGCTAAGAACAGGGGGACCGGAGCGCAGGTCTAGAGGCACATGCCCTGGGCTGGTGCAGCAAGGGAGGGTTGGGTCTCCGGGAAGGGGCCCGCTCTTTGGGTGCCGTGCTGCTTTCCCATCCTCGTCCTTCTGCCAATCACCCATCCTTTGCCCCCCGGTCCCATCCCTCCCACCCAACCCAGCACCTGCCTGGGATAGGCACTGAGCTGCTCACCTCCTCTGTTCTCCACCCGCCCTGTAGACTGCCCCTCTCCTCCCAGCCCGTCTTCCACGCCGCCTACGCTTTCTTCTCGTGCTCGATCCCACAGGCAGGCCCTGCGACACAGTGGGGACCCTGTGTGGGCTTCTGTCCTTGCTCTCCCCAGACAACAAGGGGAGGGTACCCAAACCACGGGCCCCAGGAAGGAGAGGGAAGGGACAAAGGGTGAGGGCACTTGCCCAGTCTCTGCCCAGCAACGGTCCAGCGTCCTGACCTCCTCTCCCGGGCGGAGGGCGGGTCGGCAGCCTGGGCACCGGGCCTGCCCCCCGCCCTCCTGTGCGAGCCTGGAGAATGGTGTCTCATGGCAGGGGTTGGCTGATGGTTCGGGCAGAAATGTGAGGAGATGAAAACGGCCGCTTTACACTCCCCCACCCTAACCCTCCAGCCCCAAAGTCTCATGCAAAAGGTACGGAGGCCCCGGGCTACCATCATGTGTGCGGCAACAGCTGCCACTGCTGGGCCGGGGCGTCAGCCTGGCACTTGCTGGTCACCAGCTGGGTGGGCTTGGCCTCCAGGCAGAGGCCGCTGACTGAATGCTGGATGAAAGAAGCTTTTCTCCTCCATCTCTGTGGGGGAAGCAGGAAGGAGGGGAACGAGAAACAGTGATTACAAATAATACTGCTTACACCTTCACGGCACATGTATATAAATGCCCTGCATGCATCTAGGACACCCCTGCCCCCATTTAAACAGCAAGTGTGTCCTTAACACAAGGGCCCCCGGCGCACACCAGCCCGTGCCTCCCAGGGCACGCTCGTTCTGTAGTTTGGCAGGAAGTCACTGTCTAGATCAGAGGCGCATGGGCTGAATCGAACCCAGAGATGTATTCTGTTTGGCTTGCACGGTGTTCATTTAAAATTTGGCTTTGTCGCCACATAAAAATCTGCATTTCCAGCTTCCCTTCAGACAGGGCTCAGCTTCTCTTGTGCCATCGGCCGGTTGGGGCGGCGGGGCTGCTGTCCTCTGTAAAGGGACCCTCTCAGTTCACCTGCCTCCCGCCCGGACCTCTCCGCTCTCCTTGTGGGCACTTGAGTTTGAGTTCCTGGACCGGGTGAATCTTGGACTCCTTCAGACAAGACTTCTGTCTCCGGCTCTCAGCCTCTGCCCTGGCCTGTAACTGCCCTCGGCACCTGCACCCTCTGGTGGCAACTGGCCGCCATCCCCACAGAGAGGGAGAGGGAGGCCCACGGTGGTGGGGGCACGCGAGTCCCCCGTGTGCATCATGAAGGGGCTCCCAGGGCAGAGCCGTCACCTCCTGGTGCCTCTCCTTTCCCAGGCTTGACAAGGGCAAGGAGAGTTGTTCCTGCAGAACATTTTGGAAGTGCGTGGGTGGGGGGTTAAGTGTGGCTGGGACTCTTGGTCTACTTCCCTCCCATGCATCCATCTCCCCTTTTCCTGTGTCCACCTTGTCCTCCCTAAGAAGTGGGGAGAGCCCGTGGCCGTGTGGATGGAGCCGGAGGGCTCTGAGGGGAGAGCCATGTTCTTTTCGGAGCAGCTAGGAGAAGGGAGGTGAGCTGCGCACGGCTTTGGTCCAGGTCTCATGGGGGGAGGGCAGAGAAGGGAGCCAATGTGGGATGTGCACACAGGGCGACGGTGGGGGCTTCGGAGCCTGGACTCCCCTGGGAAATGCAAGGCTACGAGGCTCAGGGCTGAGAACCAGCCTCTCTGGCCCATGTGGCCCAGCAGGCAGGAGAGGGGTCCTCGGCCTAAGGGCAGGGGTAGCAGGTAGGGCAGGGCCTTCGGTCCCTCTGAAACACAGCACCCTGTTGTCTGTGCTATTCTAGTCTCTAACCTCCTGGGAGGAGGGCCAGCTGCCCAGGGTGCTGTTGGGGGCCTGGCAGGACCTGCAGGAGTAGAGTGAGTGGGGACAAAGGAGATCCTAGGAGCCCTGGAGGGTCGGCACGAAGGGGAAAACAGGTGCTTCAGCCCCGGAGAAGTATTTGCACGGTGGTTGTGCTGGGAGCTACGTCCCAGCTCTGGCCTCAAAAGGAGGCGGTGGGAGTGGGCTTAAGGTTTGAGTCTGGGGGAGTTCCATGCTCCAGGTGAGGGGGGGGCTCAGGACCCCCTCACTGCAGGGCAGGGGGCAAGCAGGCTGGGCGTGGGCAGGACCAGCTGCACCCCTCCAATCAGAAAGTGCTTCAGAAATGTCCGGTGGGCCCAGCAAGCCGGCCATGGCACACACATCTCTTAGACCTGGCAAGGAGGGGACTGGGCTGCTTTTCCAGAATGGGACAGCAAACTGCCAGGCGTCCCTGAGGAGCGGACCCAGAGCAACAGCACGGGGTGGGAGGAGACCCTGCAGGCCGAATCAGAGAGCCAGGGGGCCCTCGTGCCCTGCACTGCCCCGCAGGCTGCCAGAGCCAGGCACAGGGAGGGCTACGCGGAAGGGGCAGGCAGGGAAGAGCAGGAGCAGACCTCTGCCCTTTGCGTCCCAGGGTTCATGGAGACAGGGTCAGAGTGTTCGACACACGGAAGAGGCAGCGCTCACTCAGGCTGGCACGACCACTCGGAAGTCACGGCACCTGCACCTCAGCGTCCCCGTCAGCCAGCAGTCCAGAAACACTGACTGCGCATCTGCTATGCGCTGGGTTAAGACCAGAGCCAGGGGTCCCGCCTAGCTGGGTTTGAATCTCAGCTCCACCCCATCCCAGTGTGTGAGCTAACACACGTCTCTTACATTTAGGGAGCCCCAGTCTTGCCACCTATAAAATGGGGATAGTACTAGAGCCTACATCGCTGGGTTGCTGGGAGGATTAGATGAGGTGATCCATGTCAATTCCTAGTACAGGCTCTCAGTAAAAGCTAACACTTATTTTGGCTGCAGTGGTTGTCAGAGGCTAGGGACCGTGTCACCAAGACAAGAGTCCTGTCCTCATTCAGCTCACAGGCTGGCAGGACAGACATTTAACAGATATTTACCTGAAGAACTTCCTCATGAGTAAAATCATAGACTTGACCTAGATAGTAACCTAGGCCTGCAAAGGTCCTCATTCTGGAGGGTTTATTTGAGTCCATATGTCTCAGGCTGGGGCTCCCCTGCAAGGGGCTGCCACCCCCACTGCATGTCCCCCTGGAGATGCTGGCCGTCCTGAGCCCAGGGGCAAGGAGGCTCACCTGCCTGCCTTCTCTCGGGTTGCATGTCTGCAGCACCACAAGGGACCCAGGGGAGATGGAGGTGGAGGGGGAGGTGGCCGTCAGGCACTTCCCCTGCTGCTGGATGAGGTGGTCACTGAACAGCCATGCCTGCAAGACAGGGACCAGAAAGGCTGCGTCAACAAGTATAGCAACGGATGGACGGATGGGTGGTTAGGTGATAAAGCAAATATATTGTGCATTTTGAGAGAATTTTCTACTGATAGGGGTGATGGATGGGTATTCACTGTACAGTTCTTTCAATTTTTCTGTATGTTTGAAATTTTTCAATATAAAATATTGGGGGAGCTTGGCTGGAGCTGGCCAGAGGGCAATGGAGAATGTACCAAGCGATGGTGGGGATGGGGGGAAGGACAAGGCATGGGACCAGAGCAGCCAGGCTCCGTGACCTGCTCTGTCTTTTTTTCTTTTTTTTTTAAATTTTGTTTTCTTTATTGATTTGAGAGAGAGAGGAAGGGAGATGGAGAGAGAGATAGAAACACTGATGAGAGAGAACATCGACTGGCTGCTTCCTGCATGCCCCCCACTGGGGATCGGGTCCACAACCTGGGCACGTGCCCTGACCGGGAATCAAACCGGCGACCTCTTGGTGGGTCGATACTCAACCACTGGGCCACACCGGCCGGGTGACATGCTCTGGTTTTGACATGGTGCATCGACACTCATATTTTGTGTACATGTACGCACACAAGAGTCCTGGATGCCCCGATGCCCATCATACACGCGGAGCACAGCTGCATCCCAGGAGGGAGCTGGGTGCAGTCCCGGCAGCGTTTCTCTCTCTGTAAGGATGCAGTGGGCAGTGCACAGGGGGCAGCTGCGTCGCAGGCCGGAAAGAAGACGGCAACGTGGCAGGAGCAGACGAGGAGCAGAGTGGGATGGGATGGCTCGCAGGGTCCCTGGGAAAGTGGGCTTGTGGAGGGTGTAGACAGAGGATGAGAATAAGCAGAGGAAAGCCCCTCACCCCACTCTGGGTCCGAAGCAGCTTACCTGGGGTGCCGGGGGATTCTTGGCGGACCCTCTGCAGATCCCCACTCCAAGCAGGAAGTTCCCAGCAGCGTCCTGGCCCTGGGATTCTAGGCAATTAACCCCTTGCTTAATGATGCTGGGGAGCACTTCCTTCACTGGGACCCTGAAAGGGAAGGCAGGGGTCAGGCTTACCCACACGTACCCAGAGGGCACCCCAGGCAGCTCCTGGGACGCCATGGTCTCGGTGGGAAGGAACACTGGGGGGCAAGCAGGGGAGAGAGGGCAAAGGGAGCAGGGGTTCCTCTGGGAAGACAGGCCTGAGGCCTGCAGAGCTCTGAGCAGCCCTAGGGGCCCCAGGGACTGCCCTGGAGGCTGGTCTGAGAGAACCCTGCGGGGAATCAAGCTCAGGCCAAACACCCTGGACTCCCTAGTCCAGAAAGGAGAAAACCTGGGGAGAGGCTCGAGGCTCGAGGCTGAATGTGGGCGCAATGAGCAATCTCAAAATGACAGGGGAGGAGCTAAAGAGGCGAATTTAAAATCCACAAATATGCCCTGGGTGGTGTTGCTAAGTGGTTAGAGCATTGGCCCCAAACCAAGGGGTTGTGGGTTCAATTCCCAGTCAAGGACACGTACCAGGGTTGCAGGTTCAATCCACAGCCCTGCTCAGGGTGAGTGCTGTAGGCAACCAATCGATGTGTCTCACATTGATGTTTCTCTCTCTCTTTTTTTTTTTTTTTTTTATCCTCACCCGAGGATATTTTTCCATTTTTTGTACGGATAGAGTGGGAGGGAGAGAGAGGAAGAGAGAGAGAGAGAGAAACATCGACGTGAAGGGACACATCGAGTGGCTGCCACCCGCACGACCAACCAGGGCCAGGGACAAACTGCAACCGAAGTACGTGCCCTTAGAGGGAACCGAACCCGGGTCTCTCCGGACCGCAGGCCGACGCTTTAACCGCTGAGCCAAACTGGCCAGGGCTGATGTTTCTCTCTCTTATTCTCCCTCTTTATTTCCTCCCTCCCTCCCTTCCACTCTCTCTAAAAGCAATGGAAAAAATATCATCATGTGAGGATTAACAACAACAAAAAAACACAAATATAAATGTGTTCGATCCCATTAACAATTAAAGAAATACATTATTAGAGAGTTAGCACTGTTTACCATATATGTATATATTGTGTATTTATATATTTATTTACATATAACATACACTATATATAATAATATATTTATATATACGTGCAAATATAAATATTTAATATCAATACCCAGTGTTGGCACTATCTGTGGGATTGGGTCTTCTCATACCCTACCAGTGAAAGCATAAATTAGCCTAACTTTTCTGGAAGGCAACATGTTATTATTATTATGTATCAAAGGCCTTAAAAATATACACACCTTTGACCTCACCACCCTGCTTCAGGGAACTTAATATCCTACAGCAATGATTATAGATGTGTGCAGAGATTTAGTTTAAAAGATATTCGTCTCAGGCTGGTTAATCACAGGAAAACATTGGAAACTCCTAGATATTCAACAACAGAGGATGGGTGAAGTACACTGATTCATCTGCAGGATGGAAAACCCTTTAGCCATTAAAAATGACTGTGAAACAATATCTGGTAATGTTCAGAACATACTGTCAAGTAAAACAGGCATCTCAAAATACTACATTATTAAAACTCTATATGCACAGCAAAAATATGCATAAACACACACACACACACACACACACACACACACACACACGACACAAGACACAGTGTCTTACCCTGTGGGCAACAACCCTAAGAAGACTGCCAGGCCCAGCAGACGCAGGTGTGTACAGTGGGTTTAGGAGGTTATACATAATCTCGGGTTGGGGGTCCACGGGGGTGATGAGGAACCACGTGCCTGAGCTTATCTGCCTCCTGCCACCTCGGTCGGGAAGAGAATTCGTGCAGGGGTGAAGGCATCAGAACACGTCTGGCATTCTTCGATGTAGACCTTGGCCAAACCAGGTCTTCCTTCCTCAGAGCTGGTTGGAAACCCCCGAGCCCCAGAACCGACCTGTTCTCAGAGCCTCAGGAACTGTTCGAATCCCCCGTTTTGAAGAAAGTTGGATCTCCTTTCTAAGCCCTGGCCCCTGCCCCTGAGCCCCGAGGCAGCTGGTGAACAGTGGGCTGGGAGGAGGAATCGGGTATGAACGAGCCGTGTGGTTTCCACCTTTAAACTTTCACACGGTGACGGACAAACGGAAGCTGACCTACGCTCCTCACGGACCACAGCTGGTTTCACCCACTGGCCTGCCTTGGGGTCAGCCCCAGGTTCCTGACAGCTATAAACAGGGCCTCCTCTGGCCCTGGGGGACGCCGTGGGGCGCTCTGCGTGGGCACGGAGGGGAGTGGGGGGCCCTGCGGTGCCTCAGCTCCTCCCCGGGCGCCCCGCTCCGCCCAGCTCCAGGCCCGAAAGCTATGGCTCTGTCCCAGTGTGGTGTGCACTAAGAGCTGACACGTGCGAACGCAGCCATCCCGTCACAGACGGTCACTAGAGACATTGTTTATTATATTTTTATAAGTTAACGGTCTTCCCTTCACAGCTAACACCCAGGGAGCGTGGCATTATCCAGGCCGCCAACTGTCTTCCAAGGACGTTGCCGTCGCTCAAGTTACGGGATTCCTCGGAACCGCTCCCAGCGTCAGGTTATTTTTGTGACTTGTTTCAGTCTTGCCACACTGTATCTGGGACCTGGAATTATCTTATCTGGGTTAATCTAGTTTATTCACTGGTCTTGGCTATAAGGTAACTATGGCTATTTTCAAAAGAATCAAACCTGCCCTGGCTGGTTTGGCTCAGCGGTTAGAGCGTCGGTCTGCAGTCCAGAGGGACCTGGGTTCGGTTCCCGCTAAGGGCATGTACCTCGGTTGCAGTTTGTCCCCGGCCCTGGTTGGTCGTGCAGGTGGCAACCACTCGATGTGTCCCTTTCACATCGATGTTTCTCTCTCTCTCTCCCCCCCTCCCACTCTATCTGAACAAAGAATGGAATAAAACAAACAAACAAACAAAAAAACCAAAAATCAAACCTGCCCTTCAAAGACACAAAAGCTCTGGGGGGCGGAGTGTTCCAGAAAGCCCCCAGCATGTCAGGACAGAGCTGGCAGCAGTGGGATGACCCCTGCCCGAGGTGACAGCTAGAGAAGGAACAAGGCTAATTGTAAAGTTATTTCTGGGGCTTATTGACTGTGCGATTTATTCAGTCAAAAGTATTTATCAAGAGCCCATTTGGGGCCTGGCACTGTTGTAGGGCCTGGAGATCAAACGGTGAACAAAACAGATGAACATCTACCCTCGTGGGGCTCACTGTCGAGTGGGGGCGACCACAGAACTAGCTGGCCAGATGGATGCCACACAATGATACGGGCGACAGAGGAAGGCAGAGCAGGACACCGGGACGGGCGGGTGTAAATTCAGTGCTCGGGGACGTCTCCCCGAGAAGGGGACATTTGAGCAAGGCCTGAAAGAAGTGAGGAAATGGCCATGTGGGTGAAGCCAGGACACGCACAAGGAGTTTAAAATAAGAAAGAAGGAATCCTCTTCACCCCGCCCACCATGATAGCTGGTCACCTACAGTCCCGTTCAGCGACACACACACACGTACACGCACACGCACACGCGCACACACCGCTGGCAGGCTGCCAGCGCAAACCTTTCCCCATGCTTTGCTTTTCCGGCCTTTTGATTGTAATATTAATGGGCGCATAATATTTGTTTAGATCGAGGATCACGATTCACAAATCCCGGCCCCCATTGTTGGTTGTTTCTCGATTTCCCCCAGCAGAGAAGCCTACTGTGAACATCTACTTGCCAACAGTTTTGCTTCAGTTGTTTCGTTTCCTTAGAATAAACTCCCAGAGGGGAGAGAACAGAGTCACAGGGGATGACGATTTCTGTGGCCTTTGCTACATGATGCTGTGTTGTTTTCCTAAAGAGACAACGTCCATTTCTAGCTCGAAGACCCAGTCTGTTAAAAATTTGGTTCCTTCCCAGCCGGTGTGGCTCAGTGGATTGAGCATCCTCCCATGGACTGAGAGGTCCCGGTTCAATTCCTGGTCAGGGCACATGCCTGGGTTGTGGGCTCGATCCCCAGTGGGGGGCGTGCAGAGGCAGCTCTTTGATGTATCTTCTCTCATATCGATGTTTCTCTCTCTCTCTCTCCCTTCCTCTCTCTCTAAAAATATCAATGAAAACATATTAAAAAAATTTTGGTTCCTACCACAGGTCATTTTTAACTCCTGCTAACATCTTCCTGGTTCCCTGGATAAACACTGAGAGCCATAAAGAGGCAGACTGCCGGGGATGGGGAGCACCTGGGGTGGGGGGGTCCCCCAAGCTGCCAGCCCTCACCCCAGCCAGGTGCACAGGCTTAGGCTGTACTCACGTGAGCTCTGGGTAGACGTTGTCCAAGTACCAGCGGAAGGACTTGCAGTTCATCTTCTTCCTCTGCTCGATCCTTGTGGCCACACTGAAAGACGAGGCCAGGCTCAGGCTTGGCCAGCGGCATGGAAGAAGGCCCAGCGAGCATGGGCAAAGGCCTCTCCCTAGTGGGCCAGGGCCAGGAGGCAGGGTCGCAGCCTGCCCTCTAGCCTCAGCCACCTGCCTGGAGTCATTCTCTGACCCGAGTTCATCCCAGGTCTCCTGGCCATTCCTCATTTCTGTCCTCAAATTCCTGCTCCCTGTTCAAGATCAGCCCCGCCCACGGGGGGCCATGTTTCACTCTCCTCACGGCTGGAGCCCTCAGCTAGCATAACACACCCCTCATTTAGCCTCGGGCCTAGTCACAGAGAGCAGAGCCTATATGAACTCGAACTTTCCTCTGTGCACTGCCACTTGGCAGAAAGCGTCTGACAACCAGAGAAACAGGCTTTCAAGGGCTTTCAGGAGTTCTAGCAATCAGATGTGTTGGTGGACACGCACGTGGTCTCCTGCCTTCCCCAGCTACACTGACCAGAGCGCCACTGACAGATGCCCCTCACCGCCTGCTAGCCTGCTGCTTCCCCAGGAAACTGAAGACATATCACGACCTCAGAAGGTTTTTGTGAGAATCAAAATGTTAAAGGACGTAAGTGCCTGGCACAGGGTAGGTCCTCAGTAAAAGTTTAGCTCCCCACTGAAAGAAAGTCAATGACAAAGCTCTTCTTTAAGGAACAGATATAAGTAAATAGAGGGAGGAAGGTTCATTGATGATCATTAATAATGCTTTCAAACTTTTCTGACCCAAATCTTAAATAAGAATGAATACGTCTTACACTGGGACCAAGTTCACCCCTGTACACATGTCGGTCGACACACATATACCCACAACTGAAATGAGAGTTTTGCAAAACAATACTACCCTCCACTGCAACCAACTGTTATTCTCTGTTCTGTTCTCTACTAATCTATAGTGTACTAATCATTTTTTTTTAAATGCTGGTCGCAACCCACTAAACTGATTTCAAAACCAATCTGTATTTTGAAAATGCCTCACTAGACTGTAGTCATAACAGTTGGAGACAGGAAAACAGGCTAACAGCTCCCAGTCAGATTCGGCACAACCGGGTGGGAGCAAAACCGTGTTTCCTGCAGACAGCTCATCCCTAAGCTCTCCCACAGATGTCCCTTTTCCTTCAGGCAGCTTGTGAACAGAAACTCTTTTTCATGAACAGCCCTCTCTGGTTACTTCTCCCCCGCAGGGTTGTGTCTCCTTCAAGGACCGGTGTGTTGTCTCTGCATTGCATACGGGACAGGGGCTCTGTCACCGAGGAGGCTGAGTGCTAACGAGCTGATCTGTACTCTGGCCAAAGCTGTGCTAACGGGTGGACGGAGGCCCACCTGCCGAAGGCCTTCCCGATGGCCGAGGGCCGGGCCTCGTAGTAGTACTGCTTGTACTCGTCCATCCACACCTCTGCAGTGCGCTTGGTGTTCCTACAAGGAGAGAAAGGAGCAAGAGAAGTGTCACCAAGGTGGTGACAAAAATAGGGTTAGAATCAAGATCAGCTCTGTGAATGGATGAGAACATGGGGTGAGGAGAATCTCAGGAGTGTACGCAAAACAAGATTGATCGGGGTGGTATGAATGGGTATGATCGTTTTGGAGAACAATCTGACACTGTCCATCAGCTGATGTCTACTCTTTGACGCTACACTTCCAGAAAGCTACTCCGATAGAGCTGCATGTGGGCAATAAGGACATGTCCAAGAGCGTTTGTTCAATAAAACACTGGCAACAACCTAAATGCCCATCAGTGGAGGATGGTGGAGTACTGGGCAACCTTGAAAAACAAGCCATGGTTAGTGTACACTGACAGGGAAGGATGTCTATAATTTAGTGTTGAGTGGCAGAAAAACATGCTGTAGAAAAAACAAAGCATGATCCCATTTATATAAAAACACAGACACAGTCCAGCTGGTATAGCTCAGTGGTTGAGCGTCGACCCATGCACCAAGAGGTCACTGGTTCGATTCCCGTCAGGGCACATGCCCAGGTTGTGGGCCCAATCCCCAGTGGGGGGTATGCAGGAGGCGACCAATCGATATTCTCCCTCATCGATGTTTCTATCTCTCTCTCCCTCTCCCTTCCTCTCTCTCTAAAAATCAATAAAGAAAAAACCACAGATACAAACCATGGTTTATGTGTGTCTCTCTCTACATATAAACTGCATATATGAAATGTATTAAAAGTCCTGTGGCTGGGAACACGGATGGGCAGATGCTGCCCCAGTCAGAGTCAGGACATGGCATCCATGCCATGTGAATGGAGGGCAGCTTCCAGCCAGTCTTTTGGCTGGTTTTTCAAGACCCTCAAGGACAAAGAGAGTCAGGGCAAGAGAGAGCAGGCGGCAACAACTTCATCCTTCCACCCCTGAAAGTACCTGCAATCTACAAAGGAAGACCTGGGAGGGGATGAACGGGGGAACTGAGGCCCGGAGAGTATGCCTTCCCAAAGTCAGTTGGTAGGACTGGGCCTAGATCCCGGGGTCCTGGCTCCAAGCTCAGTGCTCTTGGTTCTGTGACCTACCTGATATAGGTGAGGGCGTTGCCCTCAGGGAAGTTGTAGGGATGCCGTTTCCGGAAGACATGGCCCACGCGGCTGCAGGGCACGATCTCCAGGCTCCCTCCGCACATCCACACCCTGAAGGAGAGCTCTGCAGGAGAGGGCAGCCGTCAGGAGCCGGAGGGGCCCCTGGGCAGGGCCCACTACTGAAGATGGGAAGGGCCTGGCTTCCCTTCCCTTCCGTGTCTCACTGGAGGCACAGGCTGGGGTCAGAGCTCCCGGGCCTGTTCACACAGGGGCACCCACTCCTGACATGTCTGCATATGCTCCCGACCTTGCACCCCATGCCCGTGCACATACCCTCCACACATCACACCCCCCACATCACACCCTCCACACTCACCCTCCACACATCACACCCTCCACACATCACACACACCCTCCACACATCACACACACCCCACACACATCACACACACCCTCCACACATCACACACACCCTCCACACATCACACACACCCTCCACACATCACACACACCCTCCACACACACCCTCCACACACACACCCTCCACACACACACCCTCCACATACACACCCTCTACACACACACCCTCCACACATCACACACACACCCACACATCACACACACCCTCCACACATCACACACACCCTCCACACATCACACACACCCTCCACACATCACACACACCCTCCACACATCACACACACCCCCACACATCACACACCCCCCCACACATCACACACACCCTCCACACATCACACATACCCCCACACATCACATCCCCCCACACACATCACACACACCCTCCACACATCACACACACCCCCACACATCACACACCCCCCCACACATCACACACACCCTCCACACATCACACATACCCCCACACATCACATCCCCCCACACACATCACACACACCCTCCACACATCACACACACCCACACACATCACACACACCCTCCACACATCACACATACCCCCACACATCACACCCCCACACACAATCACACACACCCTCCACACATCACACACACCCCCACACATCACACACACCCTCCACACATCACACACACCCCACACACATCACACATACCCCCACACATCACACCCCCACACACAATCACACACACCCTCCACACATCACACACACCCCCACACATCTCACACACCCTCCACACATCACACACACCCCACACACATCACACACACCCTCCACACATCACACACACCCTCCACACATCACACACACCCTCCACACCCACCCTCCACACACACACCCTCCACACACACACCCTCCACACACACACCCTCCACACATCACACACACACCCCACACATCACACACACCCTCCACACATCACACACACCCTCCACACATCACACACACCCTCCACACATCACACATACCCCCACACATCACACCCCCCACACACATCACACCCCCCACACACATCACACACACCCTCCACACATCACACACACCCCCACACATCACACACACCCTCCACTCATCACACACACCCTCCACACATCACACACACCCCCACACATCACACACACCCTCCACACATCACACATACCCCCACACATCACACACACCCTCCACACATCACACACACCCCCACACATCACACACACCCTCCACACATCACACACACCCCACACACATCACACACACCCTCCACACATCACACACACCCCCACACATCACACACACCCTCCACACATCACACACACCCCACACACATCACACACACCCTCCACTCATCACACACACCCTCCACACATCACACATACCCCCACACATCACACCCCCCACACACCCCCCACACACCCTCCACACATCACACACACCCCCACACATCACACACACCCTCCACACATCACACACCCCCACACACACATCACACACACCCTCCACACATCACACACACCCCCACACATCACACACACCCTCCACACATCACACACACCCCACACACATCACACACACCCTCCACACATCACACACACCCTCCACACCTACCCTCCACACACACACCCTCCACACACACACTCTCCACACACACACCCTCCACATACACACCCTCTACACACACACCCTCCACACATCACACACACCCCCCACACATCACACACACCCTCCACACATCACACACACCCTCCACACATCACACACACCCTCCACACATCACACATACCCCCCACACATCACCCCCCCCCACACACATCACACACACCCTCCACACATCACCCCCACCCCCACACATCACACACACCCTCCACTCATCACACACACCCTCCACACATCACACACACCCCCCACACATCACACACACCCTCTACACACACACCCTCCACACATCACACACACCCTCCACACCCACCCTCCACACACACACCCTCCACACACACACCCTCCACACATCACACACACCCTCCATACCCACCCTCCAGACAAACACCCTCTACACATCACCGACACACACCTCCTCTGCACACATCATACGCACACACCCTCCATACTCTCCACACAAATACCCCCCCACACCACCACCACAGACACACCCTCCACACATACCACCAACACAGACACACCCTCCACACACACACCCTGCACACAAACACTCCCCTCACACACGTTGAGCCCTGGGGGAGCAGTGGAGAGCTTTGAAGAAACACCAAGACCACAAGTAGAAGGAAAACTGACTCAAATAGCAGCATCAGCTCTAGCCCCCGTCCAGAAAGCCCCATCCAGACGTGAGCTCAGGAAGAATACGTCTGCTCATTGTCCAGTTCTGGGCACCTGCGAGGTTGGAAAACCAGCCACCAACCAAGCCGCAGCCGCTCCAGCTGGCTGGCCCTTGACCTCCCTCTTGTCCGGGGGTTTCCATTTACAGGCTGCTGCTGGCCCTCTTGAGACAGGCTTCCCTCTAACGCCGGTGGTGAAGCTGAACAAGCTTTTGCACTTGACTGTGGTCCTCAGCAGTGTTGGGAGATGAAAGAAGTGGCCATTCCGTTTCCCAGAAAGGGAGGGATATCACAGGTTACCCGCTCCGTTCTCCACTCAGCATGGCCGCTTCTGGCAAGGCCCGCCTTGGCCGCTGGCTGAACCTCACACAGTCTCTTCTGATTTCCTACTTTCCTTCATATTAGCTCCACAGCTGGACCCCCTGTGACATTAAAACACCTCCCCGCTGCCCTGGCCGATGTGCTCAGTGGTTAGAGCGTCGGCCCACAGTCCAGAGAGACCCGCTAAGGGTATGTACCTTGGTTCCTGCTAAGGGCACATACCTTGGTTGCAGTTTGTCCCTGGCCCTGGTTGGGGTCATGTGGGTGGCAGCCACTCGATGTGTCTCTCTCACATCGATGTTTCTCTCTCTCTCTTCCTCCCTCTCTCCCTCTATCTGAGGATGAATGCAAAAGTGTCCTCGGGTGAGGATAAAAACAAAAACAAAACACCTCCTTCCTGTCCCAGAAAATTCATAACCCTTTTTTTTTTTTCCTTTACAAAAATTTTTTAAAAAGCAAGACCATTCTGTCACAAGTTCTCTTGGTCCCTTGGTCCCTCTTCCTACTCACCTGGTGCAGCAGGTAAGAGCCTCCCGGTGACCAGCAAAGGGGGGAGTGAAGGCAGCAGGACTGACACCCCCCCCCACCCAGGCAGCCTGTGTGCACCACCAGGAGGCTCCCAGATGGGGTGCCGGGGCCAGGACTGGACATGTGACATGTCTGGACTCACACACAGGGCTGGTTATGTTACTGGCCTTCCCTGGGTCTGACTGCAAACGGGCCTCTGCCCCTTCTCCAGCCAGAGCTCTGCAGCTGGCTCACAGCAGATCTGAAACTGGGGACAGACCTGGGGACAGAAGGTCTGCATTCTAGTTCCATTTCTGCCAGACTAGCTTTGTTATGTTAGTTGCCACTTCACCCCACTCAGCCAGTGTTGTCCATACTATTATTGATTACTATTGCCATTACCAATAATAGCAACAACAATGGCAGTAACCATCATCCATTCCTGAGCACTTACTACATGCCATCTTCCTTCTGCCTGATGTCTAATTCTCACAGTAACCATGTGAAGTCAGTATTATTATCCCCATATTTTAAAATAAGAACTGTGGAGATCAAAGATGTTCAATAACCTCCCCAAGGTCACCCAAATACTCAGTTGTAGAATTGCAACATGAAGTTCACACTTTGTACAGGACTGTTTGAACCAGGTTCTCTAGTTAATTCCGAATATTTTTACTGCATGTCACACGCTGTTCTAGAACCCCTTACATGCTAGTGGGGGAGACAGGAACTCAGTAAAATAAGAAACACAAATACAGGTAGGCAAGAAAATGAGAAGAATACATAGACTAGCAGACGGTAATAAGTACAACAGAGAAACACGAGGCCAGTAGGGGATGGAAGAGGGTGAGTGGAATTGGGGTGGAGGGCTACAGTTTAATTAGGCTGATTAGGGAAGTTGTCCCTGAAAGGGGACATTTGAGCCAAGGCCGGCAGGAGGTGAGGAATCGAGTCGTGTGGCTCTCAGGGGACAGCATTCCGGCACAGGGATGAGCAAGGGCAAGACCTGGAGGTAAGAGCATGGCCGGCAGGTTCGAGTGAGGCAGGGCAGAGCCGACGGTGTGTGCTTGCCAGGGAAGGGCAGACGTCAGGACTTTGGGTTTTGCTCTGAGCGATGCAGGAGCCCTGGCGGGGTCTTCAGCAGTGGAGGGACATGATCTGATCCTGTTTTTATTTTATTTTATTATTATTATTTTTTAAATCCTCACCCGAGGACATTTTTCCATTTTTTGTTCAGGTAGAATGGGAGGGAGAGAGAGGAACAGAGAGAGAAACATCAACGTGAAAGGGACACATTGAGTGGCTGCCACCCGCACAACCCAGCCAGGGCCGGGGACAAACTGCAACTGAGGTACGTGCCCTTAGCGGGAACCGAACCTGGGTCTCTCAGGACCACAGGCCAATGCTCTAACCACTGAGCAAAACCGGCCAGGGAGGTCTGATCATGTTTTAAAGGGATCCCCAAATGACTCCCAAGGTTTTCACAGGAACCCCCCTCACTCAAGGTGGCCTCTGGCTCCCGAGTTCGGCTCTCGCAAGGGACACAGGAATGAGTCTCAGTGTGGGCAACCCTCTGCCTTCAACAAAGAAACTAAACGAAAGGCCCAAACCCAGGAGCAGCAGGAGTCTCCCAGCTCAAAACTAGGGCTGGCGAGAAATTTCTTCTAAGAAGCAAAACCGTCTCCAGAACCACGCCACGGTTCACCGTTCGAGTTCCCCAACCACTGGGCCCTCGCCTCAGGCAGAGTGTGAAGTTAGCTATTTGATCATTCACTTGTTTCTCTGTCAGTTCCCAGCCTGAAAAAATAAAAGAAACAAAAAGAAGAAAAGGCCTCTGGATGCGGGAAGAGACCGTGGGTCTCTCGGTTCTGTTAGCCTTTACAGGAAACTGGCGCTGCCAAAGCTCCCTTCGGGCTGAGACCAAGGACACAGAGGAGGCCACTTGGGCCTAAACACGGGGGAGGAGGTCAGAATGCAAGGGTCACCGCTCCCAGATTCACTCCTCCAGATGTCTGCCTGGAAACAGTTCCAAGAGTAAGTTACAAAGGGGAGAAACCCCATGCCTGCTTCCGCTCCGCTGGTTTGGGGTTGGCCTCAGGCCTGTTTTCAGCCCCACTGCTCATCTGTGTCCTGATCAGGGAGAGAGAAGAGACACCTGCTCCTCACGGCTCAGAAAGACAGAATTCAGCTTTGACCACACCGCACGACACCTAAGGGGCTCCGGTCACGGCGCACCTCACACCTGTCAGAGGGCGAGTCTCCCGACTGGAATCTGGAAGGCAGCGTCCACCTCAGTTTTCCCACCTGGAAAATGGGTGCGCTACCCCCAGCCCTGTTGACTTCAAAAGAAACCTGGCTCGGATGAATAAGGAAGCCGTGGGGAAGAGCTCTGCGAAGGACCAGGGCCACTGCAAGGGCAAGAACAGGCCTCGAAGCACCTGCCCTGCTCTGGAGGCCTGCAGGACCCCTCGGCACCGGCCCCCGCTCCTAGTCTGGAGGCTTCCTATCTGCGGGGGGCAGGTTCAGCCAGCAGAGGCACCAGCAGGGATCAGAGTGGGGAGAGAGAGGGTGGGTGTCCCCCCGACCCTGACACCCTCCACCTGGGAGCTGTGGGCTGGCTGCAGGTGCCCCGAGACCACAGCTCCTGTTGGGCGGCGCTCGTCCCCATCTTTCAGACCTAGGGGTGGTGACACCTCCCAGCCCAATACTAACCTGTTCCTGTGGTTCTCTCTGTCTTGCCCACACTGTGTAAATAAGTCCCTTAATAAACCCCCTAAATTATCCATGTCGGGCGTTCCACCTGTATCTGGCCTTTATCTAACCTGAACCTCACCAGCAACCCTGGGAATTCACTGGCTCTTCCCTTTCCTTCCGGGTCTGAGGGTTCCTACAGCCTCAGGAGTCATAACAGCCACCGGTACTATGTAAGGCCTTTTAACTCATCGGCTCACTTAGTACTCATAACAGCCCCTCGAGGAAACCGGGGCTTAGGGAGGCTTTAACTTGCCCGGGGCCAAACAGTTTATAGGTGATAGGATTTTCACCCAGTAACCAGCAACACAGGGTGCTGGTTCAGTGTAATGGTGGGATCAAGTGGCCAGGCTCACGTTTTATCAGGACCCTCTACTGAACACTCCCAGACTTTCTGGTAGGGAACCAACGAAGCAACAGGTGTTTAAGCTGTGGTCTGTGAAACAGCCTGTATGTTCTTCCACATACATGTCTAGTCATTGGCCACAGGCTCCCCACTTAATTCTCTCTCTCTCTCTCTCTTTTTTTTTTTTTTTTTTTTGGTACGTGCCCCTAGCAGGAACCAAACCCGGGGCTCTCTGGTCCGCAGGCTGATGCTCCAACTGCTAAGCCAAACTGGCCAGGGCTAATTCTCTTTTTTTTATTAGCTGTGTGGCTCTGGACAAACTACTTAACCTCTCTGTGTCACAGTTTCTTTATCAGTAAAATGGAGATAATAGTACTTACCTCAGAGGCTCACTGTGAGGATTAAGTCCTTCGAACAGGGCCTTATGCATAGAAAGTGCTCAGAGTGACCCGTTATTAATATTGTTGTTGTTGCCATTGTTATATTTCTCAACTTACCAAAATTCTCTCCCCCCCAGATGTCCATCTGGGCATCATACTTTCCCAAGTGGTTAAACCAGGACTTGTCAATCACAAAGATCCCTCCAGCTATGACAGGCGTCCTGGGAGTAAGGAGGAGAGAGGCAACATGTGAGCTTAAGAAGCTGGAGGCCCCTCCACATGGCCCCAGGACCCAGGCCACTTGCCCCAGAACCCCTGCTTGCAGAGTCCCTGGGGCAGCATGCCTGGCCAGCTCCCTGGCCTCTGGCCTCTGTCGCTGGGGCCCAGAAGAGAGTCAGCACTTAGACTGCTGACTTCGGAAGCCCTGGTGACTGAAACAGCTCCCCAGCAGCCTCCCAGGCCCCTCACCCAGGGAAAGAAGGGGTCCCTCTGGAGCTCACAGGAGCCCTGACCTTATGGGCTTGGTGGGGTCTGTCCGGGCAATCTTCTGCTCAAGAGGGATCTGCTCCCACTTGAAATGTAGGCTCCAGTCGAATCCTAAGGGACAGAGCAGGGTGAAGATGAAGTTCAGGGCAGAGCCCATTGGTGGCTGTTGCCCCTCACTCTGCCACCCCTCAGAGTCTCCCTTGATCCGTGTCCAGCTCACAGAGCACGGTGGGCAATTCATTTAGTCATTCTTTCATTCAGAATGAGACAGGTCTCTGTCCCTGTAGAATTCCAATCTACTGGGTAAGACAGAGGCTACAAGGTAAACCAATGAATGGACAATATGTCAGTCAGGGGTGAAAATGCTAAAAAAAAGTTAAATAAAGGAGGTGTGTGCCCAGGCTATGCTAGTAAGGGCAGCCAGAAACCGCTCTCTGATGAAGTGACATTTGAAAAGACACCTGAATCCATGATCCATGCAGATATCTGGGAAAAGGGAACTCAAAGCAGTAAGTGCAAAGGCCCTGACGTGACTTCCCAAAGGAGAAATGCCTGGCTGCCTTCAGAATCCCACTCAATCCCAAGATCTAATTAATGGTTATGTCTATTTATTGGCAGTCGACCCCACATAAGACATCCACTCTGCCCACTAGCTCCCAGCAACAGTCTACTGTATTGGACAATACAGCTCTAAAGTCTAGACCAGAGCTGTCCAAAAGAAATATAATACAAGCCAGAAATGCAAGCTACAGATGTAATTAAAATTTTTCTAGTAGACATACCAGAAAATAACAAGAACAAATAAAGTTTTAAAAAATTGTTTTTTCCTTATTGATTTTAGAGAGAGAAAGGGAGAGGGAGAGAGAGAAACATAGATGAGCGAGAACATTGACTGGCCACCTCCTGCACGCCCCCCACTGGGGATCGAGCCCACAGCCTGGGCATGTGCCCTGATCGGGAATCGAACTGAGGACCTCTTGGTGCATGTGTCAACGCTCAACCACTGAGCCACACTGGCTGGGCAAATGAAATTAATTTAAATAATACATTTTAAACAAAATACATCCAAAGTATTATCATTTCAACTGGCAGTCGATACAAATTACTGAGATATTTTACATTCTTTCATACGAAATCCTTGACACCTGGTGTATATTTTATACCCACAGCACATCTCGATTCACACTAGTCATATTGCAGGGCTGCAAGCCGAACATGGCTTCTGGTACCACATGGGACAGCACAGGTTCAGACCATTTCCAGGGTCCACGTTAGGAATTTACACATGGGTGAGGGTTCTCGCTCCCCCACCCCCAAGACAGCTGTCATATCACGTCCATCTGCCAGGACTTGGCCATGGTCCCTAGGCTGGCAGCATTTGGGAAGGTGTGTCCTCGTGTGGGGGGAGGGAAAGATGAGCTTGGCTCTGGCCCTTTGTCCCAGCCCCAGGGCTCTACCCAACCCCTTTTCATTTTCTGGAAGTCGGGGTGTCATGAGACCCTCTGGTAAGCTGGGCTGTGGCCTGCCCTCACCTGCCTGGTTTCTAGTCTAGAGCCCCTCCCTTGGTAGCAGGACCCACCTCCGCGAAGGTCAGCGGACGCAGCAAGGTAAGCAAAATTATCCAGACTGATGACATCAATGATGGGGCTCACCACGCGGGTGTGGTCCTAGGAGAGAACGTGAGATGGTGTGAGGCCAGGGACTGTGAATAAAGGGCCAGCTGCCTGCTCTGGGAGGAAGGTCTCTCCGAGGCACACTGTCATCTACTCAGCATTTCTGGCAGGACAGTTCAGGCTCCCAGGAGCTGTCCTGTATCATTACATCCAAGTTCCTGGAAGGTCCCACCTGGGTCCCATGGGCACAATACTCTCCCAGCCTCTTCCTCTCACATCATGCTGAGCCCTGGAATCTCACCTCCTCAGTGAAGCTTTCCCTGATTGCTTCAGGCTGAGGATTTCTTCCTTGTTAATGCTGCTCTCACAATTACAGTCTAGTCCTGGCCAGTTTGGCTCAGCGGTTAGAGCATCGGCCTGCGGTCCACAGAGACCTGGGTTCGGTTCCTGCTAAGGGCGCGTACCTCAGTTGCAGTTTGTCCCCGGCCCTGGTTGGGTCATGCAGGTGGAAACCACTCCCTTTCATGTTGATGTTTCTCTCTCTCTCCCCCTCCCAGTCTGTCTGAACAAACTATCAAAAAAAAAAGTCCTGAGGATATTTTATCCTCAGGAAATGAGGATAAAAAAAACAAAACAAAACAAAAAAACAATTACAGTCTAGACAGTTCCGGGACAGTGAATCACCTGCTGCCTGAGGCTGTTCTGGTGCTGGGTTGGACTATTGTTTTATTCATTGTTGCCCACCTTTCTACATGTATGGGTTGGGTCTTCCCAACTGGGCCACCAGCATCTTGGGGCAGGGACTCTGCGTTCCCTGAGTAGCCTGGTGTCACTCCTTTCATGCCACAGCCATTTCCAGGTCACACTCACTACTCCCTTCATCACCTCCAGGCCACAAACCCACCTCCAGAACATTGGTGGGTAATGTCGATTTTACTGAAGTTCTTACTAGGGGGTAGTGGTGGTGGTGAATTATGCCATATACCACACGTGAAACTTAGCGCCCTCTATGGAGGGACAAGGGACAGGGCTCCTTTCTCTCCTTTACCCATGCTCTGCACAGACCCTCAAAATCCTCCTGTCTGCAGCTTGGAATCTAGCTCGGCCCTTCCGTTCACACCCTGTCTCAGGACAACACAAGCCTGGGAGGTAGAGGATCAGAGGACACCATTCATGGTTTCTCTGTGGGGCCTTATCTTATTCTTATAGACTTTTTGTTCCGAGATAAAATTCTTTTTTCTTTAATCCTCACCTGAGGCTATTTTCCCATTGATTTTCAGATAGAGTGGGAAAAAGGAAGGAAGAGAAATATTGATGTGAGAAAGAAACACTAATTGATTGCCTCCTGCATGACCTCAACCAGGGCTGGGGATTGAACCGCAACTGAGGTACATGCCCTTGACCGATTCGGACCCATGGCTCTTTGGTCTGTAGGCTGTCACTCTAACCGCTGAACCAAACCGGCCAGAACTAAAATTTACCTTTTTTTTTTTTTTTTATCATCCTCACCCGAGGACATTTTTCCATTTTTTGTTCAGGTAGAGTGGGAGGGAGAGAGAGGAACAGAGAGAGAGAGAGAGAGAAACATCGATGTGAAAGGGACACATCGAGTGGTTGCCACCGCACAACCAACCAGGGCCGGGGACAAACTGCAACCGATGTACGTGCCCTTAGCGGAAACTGAACCCGGGTCTCTCCGGACCGCAGGCCGATGCTCTAACCGCTGAGCCAAACTGGCCAGGACTAAAATTTACCTTTTTATAGCAATTTTTTTTTTTTATCCTCATCAGAGGACATTTTTCCATTTTTTTATTCAGACAGAGAGGGAGGGAGAAAGAGAAAGAGAGAGAGAAACATCGATGTGAAAGGGACACATCGAGTGGCTGCCACCCGCACGACCCAACCAGGGCCGGCTGGGGACAAACTGCAACTGAAGTACATGCCCTTAGCAGGAACCGAACCTGGGTCTCTCTGGACCGCAGGCCGACGCTCTAACCACTGAGCCAAACCGGCTAGGGCTAGCAATTTTATTAGATATAATTGATGTACCATAAAATTCACCATTTTAAAGTGTGCAATTCAGTGTTTTTTAAAAATGTTTATTGATTTTTTTTTAGAGAGAAACATCGTTTTGTTGTTCCACTTATTTATGCATTCATTGGTTGATTCTTGTATGTGCCCTGAATGAGGATTGAACCCACAACCTTGGAATACCAGTAAGATACTCTAACCAACTGAGCTACCCGGCCAGGGCTCAGTGGTTTTCAGCATAGTCACCAGGTTGTGCAACCACTATCTAATTCCAGAATATTTCCATCACCCCAACAAGAAACCCTGTACCTAAGAGCAGTCATTCCCCAAACCCCCCTCTCCCCCGCCCCTGACAACCACTATTTCTACTTTCTATTTCTGTGAACTTGTTTATTCTGGCCATTTCACCTAAATACAGTCATGTAATATGTGTTCTTTAGTGATTGGCTTCTTTTACTTAGAATAGGTTTTCAAAGTTCACCCATGTTGTAGTATGAATCAGTACTTCATTCCTTTTTAGGGCTGAATAACATTCCACTGTATGACTATATCCCATGTTGTTTACCACTCATCAACTGAAGGGCATCTGGGTTGTTTCCCTGTTTTGGTTGTTCTGAATAATACTGCGCTGAACACGTGTGCACAAGCTTTTGTGTGGAGTATGATTTCACTTCTCTTGGGATACATCTAGCAGCGGAATTGCTGGCCCTCCGGTGACTCTGTGTTTAAACCTTTGAGGCACCGCCAGGCTGGTTTCCAAAGGGCTGCACCACTGGACACTCCCACCAGCATCGTGAAGGCTCCTCTTTGTCCCCACCCTCGTCCATCTTTTTTATTACAGCCATCCTGTTAGGTATCGTTTTGTGGTTTGGACTTGCATTTCCCTAATGACTTAAGAACAGTTGCGCTTTTCCTATGCTTGTTGGCCATTGTGTATCTTCCTTGAAGAAATGTCCTTTCAAATCCTGTGCTCATTTTTATCTTTTTTTTTAATCCTCACCTGAGGACATTTTTCCATTCTTGTTCAGATAGAGTGGGAGGGAGAGAGAGGAAGAGAGAGAAACATCAAGTGGCTGCCTCTCACACAACCCAAACCAAGGCTGGGGACAAATCGCAACCGAGGTATGTGCCCTTGACCGGAACTGAACCTGCGACTCGTTGGTCCGTGGGCCGATGCTCTAATCACTGAGCAAACCAGCCAGGGCCCGTGCTCATTTTTAAACTGGGATATTTGTCTTTTGATAGTTGAGGTATAATCACCTCATCCTTTCTTCCATCTGTCCAACCCCCCTCCCATTCTAAAGAACAGCAGGCACACAGTAGGGCCCCTGCCCTCATCTCTCCTTGAGAACACCATCCTCTCCTCCCTCTTCCTTGGGCTTCCCAGCCTGACCCAAACCACCCCACCCCACCCCACCCCAGCACAGGACCCTGCCTCCCCCAGGGGAAAAAAAACCCCACCCATTCATAGTAGTAGCTTTATAGCTCACCCAGGCTTCCATCCACTTTAATTCTCACAACCACCTGGTGGGACAAATATAATTACCCCCACTTTCAGATGAGATGCTCAGTGAAGCGAAGTCACTCAGGAGGTAGCAGACCATTTAGACTCCTGCTCTGCCCGCCCACCTTCAAAGACAGTTCATAGGCTCTCACGCCAAGAATCTGGCAGGCACGTCTGGGGACAGGGCTCCCCCAGGCACAGACTCACCTCCTTCACCCGCTGCAGCATGGGCTGCAGCCACTCGGTGTTCACTTCACAGTGGCTGTCCAGAAAGGTGAGGACGGCCGCTGAGGCCACATCTGCCCCGCGAACGCGGGACCGGATCAGCCCTGCAGTGGAAGGGGACGGGTTGGTGCTGAGCCAGTTCGCTTCCCAGCCATCCTCACGACGTCTCGACGTCTCGGGGCGCTCCGCTCCTTCAGGAGTCAGGCCTCCTCTGAGCTACTGCGACTGAATTTTACTTTGCATTTGTTTATTTCCTCCCTCTTTCTTTCTCTCATCCATCCATCAACCATCATTACCCAAGGTCATTCTCAGAATACCCTCCATGTGCCAGACACTATTCTGGGCTCTGGGGACACGCTGATGAACAGTCAGTAGGATAGAAATAGAGTTCAGTGAACAGAGGTTGCAATCGAGTGTGTTTTGATATCAAAGGAGAACCAGAAACCGAAACCCTTTCCCCCACCTGGGAGCCTCAGGGCAGTCTGCTCCAGCTGCACCATCGTGGGTGACAGGGACAGACTCTTCTGGACTGGGACCTGCTGGAGCTAGTGTGCGCCCCTTCATTCACCGTAAGCATCTTACTTAACCTCTCTGAGCCTGTTTTCTCACCATGAGATTCCGAGAGAGGACAATCCCTGCCTGTCGGGGAGAGTAGGGTGCCTGGTGCCCAGGAGGCCTCCAGGTGTGGATTCTGCTCTGCTTCCGCCCCATCCCCCCACGGCTCCCCCACAGTCAGACCACGGCCTTGCTATTGGCAGCTCGCCGGTCAGGGCTGGGGAATTACCCGGTTGGGAGAGAGGCGGCCCAGCCGGCCCCACTAGGACAGACTGGAGGTAGTAGGCATCTGTCCCATCTTTTCACTCCACAGATAGCTATAAAGCATCTAATTTAAACCTCCTTAATTTAATTGTATTAATTCACAGCTATGTTAGGCAACACCCCAGGGAATAGCATATTCCCACATCTAAAAGCACCTGCAACCCTGTACAGTAAGTCCTCACTCAACGTCATATATAGGTTCTGTGACTTTAAGTGAAATGACATACAACAAAGCCAGTTTTTACCACAGGATAATTAACATAAGCAAGAATTAAGTTCCTACAACATTTCATCAATGTTACAAAGAAACTACATTATTTGAGGACCTGCCATGCTTAGGGATTTCTCTCTGGCCCCTTCCATTCCAGTATGAACGTCCCAGCAGCCTGACTGGTCTTTCTTAAAAATGCCTATCACATCTCTCTCTCTCTCTCTCTGTCTCTGTCTCTGTCTCTGTCTCTCTCTCACACACACACACGCGCACACACACAGTCAGTGGCTCCCTACTATCTGCCTTATCAAGTCTAAATGCCTTTCTCTGGCTTAAGGTCCTCTGTTATCCGCTGTCACTCCTCCCATCCCCCCTGCTGAGCAGGCCCAGCTTCTCCTGGGCAGGGAGAGCAAGTAGAAGATGAAGAGGCTGGGCTTCAAGGTGAGCCCCTCTCCAGGTTGGGATCCTGGCTTCTCTATTCATCCCCAATCTGGGGAAATTACTGAACCTCCTTAAACCCCAGTTTCCTTATCTACAAAATGGGGACAATGGGCTACTATTAGGACTGACTGTGAGAAAGCATAAAAACTGAACGCCTGCTGCAGGATGAACACTCGGCAGGGGGTATTAGTATTCCCTGTGTACCCATGCCTGACCAAGCCTCTGCTCGCAGAGCCCCTGAGCCTGGAACGCCCCGCCCCCTCCCTTGTTCCGTGTCTCGTAGCCCCCTCACCCAATCAAGGCCCACTCCCTGCCCACTCCCCTCTCCCCAGCACCCCTTCCCGGATCTCCACTCCACCACACAATCGCAACAAGCCTGTTGCTGTGGTGGACCTGACTCCTCAGCTGCGTCAGAGCTCTCTGAGGGCAGGGACCGTGTCTTACATTCTCCTGTGTCCCCTAGAGTGCCGAGCACAGTCCTACGCTGTCTCTGATGCCCCAGACACCTCTTAGTTAGAGCGAGGTCGCATGTGCTTTACACTGCCCTTTGATGTCCCAAAGCGTTGCCATGGAGCTCATCTCCTTTATCCTTACAGTCCTGTGCAAGGCAGAAAGGGCACTATTAGTACCCCCATTTCTCAGCAGAGCAACTTGCCTATGGTCATGCTGGATAGGTCTGACCTGGGGCCACAGGAGGGTCTTTCTACAGACTCTGGTTCTCGCCCCAGGACTGCAGCAGGGCCGTGCTGCTCGTGTGACAGGGCGCCAGAAGGGAGCGGGGAGGTGCGGAGGTCCAGGGCGAAATGGGTCTGCAGTGGCACCCTATGTCCAAGAATTTACCTTCCCGCCGGTCGTTGCGCAGGCATTTGACCTTGGGGATCCTGGTCAGGAGCAGACAGTCTTCAGCTGAGGGGAGAGAGAAGGAAGCTCATTCAGATGTGGGCATCAAACCACCAGTGGAACTGCCCAGGAGCTGTCCCATGCCAGGCCCAGGGAAGGGGCTGGGGACGGGGAGGCATGAAGGAGCATTGTCATCTCTAGTGGCCCCTTGTCCCCCACTCCCTGGCCAGACTAAGGACCGCCTATGCTTGTGGCATTACCACCAGGGGCGCCAGAGAGCACAGCACAAGCACCAGTCTGACATCCTGGAGCTAGACTGAAGGGATGATCTTCTCACTCCAGTTGTAATAAGGAAGAATGCTGCTGCTGCTGTTTCAAACTTCTAAAAATGTCATCTCATTGGTGCCCCACAAAAGCAACACCCTCTTTCCCCTCCTTTGGCACCAAAAAGCAGCACCAGGGAGGGTACCTAGAAAAGACCGATGAGTCCAGTGGGGGCAGAGGCGAGCCTGTGATGGCCAATCTCCAGAGCGCTTGCCCCCGCATTCTGGGGAAATGGGGGTTTGGAGGGTGCAACAAAAGAAGGTGGATACTTACGATCTGAACTGAAGTCATCCACTAAAATGATCTCCTGGATCAGGTTGGCAGGAGTTCGGTTCAGGACACTGGAGCAGTGATGGGGACAGAGGAGCCCAGATTTAGGGGCCACCTTCTGTTTACTTCCCCCTGCCATGGGGCTCCCCCCTACCCAGCTCAGGGCCAGCACACTGGCCAAGGGCAGCTGCTTGCAAACCTCTGGGTCCTGATCAATGGCCAAGGAGCACTGTGTTCCTCAGTTTCTTGTAAGCAGGTGGCTGACCCTGCTGTTAGGACCCTCAGGCACTTGGGAGCCACCCCAAATGGGGGGATGGGACTGCCCTAGTTGGTTGTTGAGGCAGGATCTGCAGCTGCTCTGACTGCCTGCTGGGGGGGGGGCACCCCAAACTGGACAGAGCTGACGATTTGAAAGGCTCATGTGTGCCCCATGAGTCAGGAGGAGTGTTCTCAGGAAGCCCCGACTCTTGCCCTCCCATCATCCTCCACCGTCCCCTACTCCCTGGGAAAGGAAACCCAAGCTTCTTTAATCCCTGGAATACCAACAGGCCTGCCTTTCCAAATCCTATTATATCTAAGTTGGTTAAAGAATCAGGATGAGCCCTGGCCGGTTTGGCTCAGCGGTTAGAGCGTCCGCCTGCGGTCCAGAGAGGCCCAGGTTCGGTTCCCGCTAAGGGCATGTACCTCGGTTGCAGTTTGTCCCCGGCCCTGGTTGGTCGTGCAGGTGGCAGCCACTCGATGTGTCCCTTTCACATCGATGTTTCTCTCTCTCTCTCTTCCTCTCTCTCCCTCCCACTCTGTCTGTACAAAAAATGGAAAAATGTCCTCGGATGAGGATTAAAAAAAAAAAAAAAAGAATCAGGATGAGTAGGAGTTAAACTTGACCACAGGGCCAAACTCAGTAGGACGGAAGGGGCGCCTCTCTCTGAAACACTGATGGGTGCCTACTGAGCTGGCATCGTGGGCCACAGGCCTCATGTCCCTCCCCGCCTCTCTCCGCTCCTGACCTGCATTTCTGCCCTCCTCCTAGGGACCTGACCTTGTGTTGGACTGTGCATCTCACTAATAATTGGACTTCTGGGGTCTCACTGACCCTGAGTCACCAGCTTCTCAGAAGGCAGGACCCCCCCCAGTGCCCGCTGGTCTTCACCCCATCTGGCCACAGCACCCGATCTCAATGTCCTCCCCTGCCAAGGGCTCAGCAGATCACCCCGAGGCCCTGGGGAGCAGCACCATTGAGATGAGGGTCCCCAGGGGGGGCTTACCTCTTCACCGTGCGCAGCAGGGTGGATCGGGCTTCATTGTGGGAGGTGATGATGACACTGGTGGCCGGCAGGTCCGTGGAGTAGGACAGAGATGGACAACTGAGAAGGGAGCAGAGAGATCAGAGGGCAGCTGTGGGAGTGGCCTCAGGGCAGGTTTTGAGGCTTCTCTTTGTCCAGCTGCTGTCCCCTGGAATACCTCTGTGGGACAGAGAAGTAAAGCCTGAAGCCAGGATGGGGGCCTTGGCCGTCCACACCCACGCTCCACACCCTGAGGCCACCCAGCCTGGAGTCCTCCAAGGGACACCACAGGGCAGGGAACCTTCCCAGGCCAAGAAGCTTTTCACCAAAGACCTAGAGCACCGGAACCCCCCAGTCCCTGAAGTGTCTAGGAGGGCTCGGACCATGTGCAGGCTCCACCCCACACCCCAGCACCAGGCCCCAGGCCCCGTCCCCACCCGGAGACAGAGCTCCCTGTGATGCAGCAGCCAAGACACAAAATGGGTTGGGGCAGCCTCTGTTTTGTCCCTGGCACTGCAGCTTCTTCCTTCTAGCCCCCCCCCCATTTAGTAGGATCTGGAGAGGAGTCACCCCCATCCTGCTGTCCTGTGACTCCCTCCCTCTCACTGCCCAGCACTAACCGCTGGCTGCTGACACCCGGAAGGGGAGTAGCCTCCCTGGACTCCTGGTCACCACAGGTGGTTCCCTCCAGCCCACACGCTCCCAGCGGCTCTGTGCTCCCTTCTCCAGACACCACCTTTCCGGCTGCCCCCCCCCCCCGCCCCTCCTCACTGCCCCAGGAAAGGGGAGGAAAACACTCAAACAGGCACTCCAGCCAGCCTTCATCTGTTTTCTCTGAAGGAAGCCTTCGCACTCCTGGGGCCGGGAAGGCAGCCACCAGGCTGGTGTTCAGGGCAATCTCCTGTACTACAGTTGCGCTCTGACTATCCCAGCAGTGACTGTTTTCATTACAGCATTCATTCCACCGACAGCCGCTTACAACTGAATTCCCAGGCCCATTTCTTGCCCTGCAGAGCAGACGGGCGGTCCACCAGCCTGGGGCCCCCACTGGACAAATCCTGAGGCTTCAGATTCTCCTTGAGAGAGCATGGGGGGGGTTGTTAAGGGGGACACGGAAATTCACCTCTTCCCCCTGAGAAGCCAGGCCTCCCAAGTGCCCATCCTCCCAGAGCCATGCTGATTTTGGGGGGTTGGGGGGGTGGGCTTGGTCTGATGAGATGGGGAGTGCTGGGAGCAGCAGCCACTTCCTGGGTGCCCAGCCCCCCAGCATGTAGGGCCCCAAGTCTGTCACTGAACCCCAGGTGCCAACCTACCCATACCCCGTGGAGGGTGGACCTGACCTCCTCTCATCCACCCTTCCAACCCCCTCCACTCTGCCTCTCTCTGGGATTCATATCTGTGATGATGGGGATTTATCCGGAGGCTCCCAGGAGCCGAGAGCCTCTGAAGAGGTTTGTCTCATGCTGTGTTTTGAGTTCGGGGTATGGAGCTGGTGGGTCTGCCTTGCATGGTTTAGGTCTCTGTGCTCTCCCTGAGGGGGAGCTCCTCACACTGAGGGCTGAACCAGGAGCCAGCCTAGAGCGGTGGCAGCAGCCTGGAAGGCTAAGGGGAAGAGCCCGGCTCACCCAGCACACCTGCCACCAACGCCAGCACCTCCTTTGCTCCCGCTACACACACGCGCCCCTTCCCCTCCCCCGACCCACCTCAGTCTCTGAGAGGGCCCTGTAGCAGCTCTGGGGCAGGAGGAGAGACCTAACTCACCAACCTACCACTGCCTTGGATTTGAAGAGTCTCATTTTAAAATGTGTATATTTCCAAGAGAAATTCTCCTTTTAAATTCCTCAGTGAATGAATATCTGAGAAGGTTCAGAGTGGGGGTGGGTGGCAGGGAGGGCAGAGGTGATCCAGGCCAGCCTCTCAGCTCACAGAGTTGGGTCAGCAGAACCTCTGGGCCCTGAGCTCTAGGTTGGCCATGGTCAGGGCTGCCCATAGAAGGTCTCCAAGTGGAGCTGATGGACACAACCTTGTAGGCCCCACAGTGCAGGCAGACACAAGGGGATACTGCCCCAGGACGGACTGAGAGGGACTTTCCAGCGCCTGTACCAGCCATCAGACCTGGGTGGGAGCCTCCCCAGGAGTGGGATCACGGCCCTATTTGGTGGCATGAACTGTTTCTGGTGGCTGACAATGCTGGGGTTAAGGACAGGGAGGACAGTCTGGGGCTCCAACTCCATGTTCATCTCACCTTGCACAGGCCACCAAGTCCACTGGCCCTCAGGCACATCTCTATGAGTGACAAGGAAGGCTAGAAGCAGGTCCCTTCTGTACCCTTAGCTCACATATATATTTAGTTCTGTGGAGTAGCTGCTTCAGAAAGAGAAGCAGTTGACCTGAGTCATTCTCTTCTACCCTCAAACCAGGACCAGCCTGATGCTGGGTACATGCTGGGTCCAACACAGCCCATATTGGCCATTCAAAGCTGCAAGCACACGGGTGGTCAGCTACAACCACCCCTTGCTGTTCTGTTTGGTGTCTGCACGGAGAGCAGAGAAGGCTGCCTAACCAGCCTGGGCTGGCAAGGAACCCTGCCCGGAGGAGAGGACACGGAGGGGAGCCGTGAAGGTGTGTATGTGTGTGGGGCTGTTCAGGAGGAACAGAGTGTGACGATGAGGAGGGAGGCGGGAGAAGTACAGGAACAGGAGCATTGAGAGCTAGGTGAAAAGGGGCAGAGGCTCCGGGGGGAGGGGAGCGGCTCCCACTTCAGGGTGAGGAGCTCAGGCTGCTACCTTAGGGGAGGGCAGGAAGAGGGGAGACTGGAGGAGGTGACTCGTGTAACCTAGTCAGGACACAAGGGCCTGGACCAAGGAGGGGGCTGAGGACTTGCCCAGGGTCGGTCACACACTGGGTGAAGTCAGAGCTGGGATCGGTGTGGAAGGTGCCCTCGGTCCTGGTCTGCAGCCTCTCTCAGCCAGCACCCTGGGAGAACTAAGAACGGGACTGGGAAGCATTTCTGGGAGTTTCAAGGAAGTGAGGGCAGAGGGCCAGGAGAGAGGACGGAAAGGGATGCCAGTGGGCCGTGTACAGTGGCCCCTCTTCCCCTCGGGCACCACCAGCAGGGCACCTAGAACACCTGGCTCGCCCACCACCTCGGATCTCCCTCTGGCTCCCTGGCAGGTCACTCTCACTGGGACTTCAGACTGAGGTGCAGAGGGGCCTCCCTGGCCCCAGCTGGGAAGGTCTCCTTGGCCTTTTCTGGACCTCAGGAGGTCAGCTGAAATAAACAGGAGTCAGGCAAACAAAATGAGGGTGAGGGTCTGAATATCTCGATAAGCAGACTGAGTCTGAGGAAATTCCTCATTTCTTAAATCTATGAGACTGAAAACACAAACACGCTAACGGGTTAGCCCTTCTCTCCCCCTTTCTTTCTCCCCGCACAACGGAGGCCACACCTGTAGTGGCGGGTGTCCCGGATGGGGCGGTCTGAGCTCAGTTTGTCGCTCTCCAGCTGGTTGAAGGCGTGCTGCCTGTAGGGGTCCTCACCGGGCTTCAGCTGCTTGGCCGCCAGGTACGCCTTCTCATCAAAGCCTCGGGAGGGTGTTCCTGTCACCTGAGACAAAGGTCAGCATGAGAGGGGCCCCAGGATAAAGTAGCCTCTGTGTGGTCAGCACTTACCACCAGGTGGGAGTCAACCGCAAAACCTCGTTTGTACTTGACCCCAACTCTGTGAACAGGAGATCATTATTACCCCCACTGTACAGATGAGGAGACTGAGGCTCAAGAAGTAAAAAACAGTATTTGCATGTGTGGGGCAGGGAATATATGGGAAGTCTTTGTACTTTCTGCTCAATTTTATAAACCTGAACTGCTCTAAAAAATTAGTAAAGTCTATTAAAAATTTTTTTTCTTTATTTATTTTTAGAGAGAGAGGGAGAGGGAGAGAGAAATAGAAACATCGATGAGAGAGAACATCGATTGGCTGCCTCCTGCATGGCCCCCACTGGGGGTTTGGCCCACAGACTGGGCATGTGCTCTGACCAAGAATTGAACCAGTGACCTCTTGGTGCATGGGTTGATGCTCAACCACTGAGCCACACCGGCTGGGTGTAAAGTCTATTTTTGAAAAGACTGCCCTGGCCGGTGCGGCTCAGTTGGTTGGAGTGTTGTCCTGTGCACCAAAGGGTTGCAGGTTTGATTCCCTGTCAGGGCACATAACCAGGTTGTGGGTTTGATCCCTGGTCGGGACATCTGCAGGAGGCAACCAATAGATGTTTCTCTCTCTCTCTCCCCCTCCCATACTCTCTCTCTGAAAACAATGAAAACATATTCTCAGTGAGAATTTAAAAAAAAAAAGACCAAAGTCAGACCTAGTAAGTCACAGGTTCTGGACTTTAACTAATCATTTTGACTCTGAAACCCATATTCTTTTTTAAAATTTTAATTTATTGATTTTAGAAAGAAAGAACAAGGAAAGGAAAAAAAGAGAGAGAGACAAACATCCATTTGTTGTTCCAGTTATTTATGCATTCACTGGTTGATTCTTGCATGTGTCCTGACTGGGGATTGAACACGCAACCTTGGTGTATTGGGATGACACCCTAACCAACTGAGTTACCCAACCTGGACTGTAACCCATACTCCTGACCACTTCTGTGTGCAGGATATGGAGAAGGTGACTCTGGAATGCACCAGACCCCCAAGATGTGGTGTCCTGAGAAAATCGCCAAGGAGGTTAGAGGTTGCCAAGCTACCAACAGATTGGCAGTCTCTTGATGGTGAACTTGGGCCTGACACTGGGCTAGGAATGATCAGTAAAACACCCAGGGCTTAGATGAGCTGCTATGCGGAGAACCACCTGTGAAAACAAGCAGGCTCAGAGGCTCATGCCAGAACTGCTGGAAGTCAGTGCACAGACAATGATGCATCTCCTCAGGGACTTGTACTTGTTGCTGAAATAGCCTCATGTCAGACCTACGGGGTCCACCAGTGCTAAGTGCTGGGGATGGATGGATGACAGATGCCATGGCCTAGACTCCCTCCTCTTAGCCACACCCTACTTTGAGCTCCCAAAGCCCCCCCCCCCCCAAAGATACTGGGGAAGAACACATCTGAGATGAATGGATGAATCCTCACATCACATTATTTGAACCAAACTGCTCGCCGGGCGTTCTCCAGAACACCTTGAAATATCACCACTGAGAGCACTTCCCGACTCCAAACCTTCCAGGTGACCAGTAGTCTGGGCAGGAGCTATGGGCACACAGAAGCATTGGGAAGACAGGTGAGAATTGTCCACTCACAGAACCCCAGCAGGAGGACCCTGTCACAGGCCTGGTCCCTAGAGAGATGGTCCCAGGAAGGCAGCTGGGCCTGTGGGACAGGGAACCAATGTTCTGGGTGAGGCTGGGGAACAGCCACCAGCAGCCCAGGGCCTCCATGTTCCCGAGAGCCCAGCTCCCAACCTCACGGGCCAGGAATGCGGAGAACTCCAGGGAGCGCTGATCTCCATAAAGGGTGCCACCCTACAGTGTTCCTGCCTCCAGTCGCATCCTGTCCTCAAAGCCAGTCCCTGAGCCCCCTGAGGTCAGACCCAGAGATGGAGATCTTGTGTGGCCCCATGCTACACACAGACGCTCAGGGCACCTATGCTCAGGGTGGTGACAACGGCTACAGCTGTGGAATGGTGATATTCTGCGTAGGTGCCATGCCAAGGGCTGGACAGATGTAGCAGAGCCTCTGTGGTCTCAAAATCCATTTCAGGAGAGACCAAAGGAGAGAAGGAGGAAGGACGAGAGAATGTTCCAGCATGAACCCTGGATTGCTGGAAGGACCCAAGCTGTCCAACTTTGAGAGGGAGAAAGGGAGCGATCCTTTGTGCCCTTCCCACTCAGGAAAAGAATGGGTACTACTGCCCCCTCTTCCTTCCAGCCCAGGGTCAGGGAGATGGAACACAGCTTCCAGTTGATGGTTGAGGAGTTAAAATAAAAGGAAAACTGCAGAAGCTCCCAAAGGGAGAGTATGCCACTTAAGTATCCTTCAAGTTGACTATGGGAAGTAACATTTATTCATTTAGGACTTATGGTCATTCTGTGGGCTCAGAGGTTTGCTGAGCCTTCATTTCACACTCACCCATTGCCCAGTAAACACTGACAGAGAGTCGCCCATCTGCCCGGCACTGGGGCAAGCTCCTGGGAGTTCCAAGGCACTGGAGTGTTCCATTTGCTTACAAGTGCTTGAATTCACTCACTCACTCACTCGCTCATTCACTCACTCACTCATTCATGCATCCATTCATTCAACACAGCTCCGTTGAGCACCAGTGGTGTCAGGAAGTGGAAGGAATGCTTCTGAGACTGTTCCCCCGACCCCCAGCCTGCTGCCTTCCCGCATCTCCCGCAAAGCCCCCCAGGGCTGCAGAGAATGTCCTGGAAGCGTCTGCTCAGGCCAAGGCTCCCTAGAGAAGCTCCTCTCAGGGCCTCAGAACTGAGCTAGACATCCTCAAAGATGCTGTCGGGAAACATCTGCTGCTCCCACCCACAGACCCATGGCCCCGATGGTCCACCCCTCCTCCAAGGTTAGACCCTCCACCTGTGAGACAGCTTGTGAAGAAGGGTGCCATGGAAACACCAGGCCCACCCCCTCCCAGAGGTCTTAGCTCTGCATTCACACTGACCCAGCAGTGCCCGGGATTTGGAGCTGAAACATCACTTGGCCCTGTGTCAGCCAATAGAGGGAATACTGGGGAAGGGTGGGATGTGACCTTGGTTGGGCTGTCACTTCCTCTCCATCCAGCGCCTTCCTGGCCTCATGCCCGTCACTGCCCGGTGCTCCTCGTCCTTGGGTATCTAGCCCCCATTCGCACACCCACACAACTGCTCATTTCCTCCCAGCTTTCCAACTCTTCTTTCCCTTTGGCCCTGTTCTTTGATTTGAAGGCTTCCAGGCCTTTGAATGTCCCATGGGTACCTCTAAGTCAACACCACAAAATGAATTCCTTATTGATCTCCAAAGCAGCAGCTTCTCCTGCACTGCCTGTTGCAGAGATGGGCAGTCCCATCCTCTGGGTCCTCCAAGCCACAAATCCAGGGGTCCCTGGTGCCCTCCCCATGTTCCACAGCCTGATTTAGACCCCTGCCCTGGGTGCCCACAGGTGGTGTACTATGGGCATCCCACTGGTACAAGCAAATAGTTACTGAAAGTCTAGTATGTGCAGATACTGTGCAAGAGGCTATGAAGACAGAAATAAACACAAGGCAGTATGGCCCCCAGAAGAGGAGTCTAGGAAACTGGCTCCTTTTCTTCCTCCATCCCACACAAGACAGGCCACAGAAGATCATGAAGAAACCCCCCACTTCCACCCTCAGAGCGCAGGTAGCTGGAGAACTGGGTGTGGAAGTTCACCCCACTCCAGCCCAGCTGGGGCAGGGGTCCGGAAATGGTGCTGCATGGACTGGGAACCAGTAGATGCTGCCCCCGCCCCCGTCCTACAGGGAGAGAGCTGCTACTGTCCTCTTTTCCCACCCAAGGTGCTCACTGAGCACGTCGGCATGTGAGGGCCACAGGCATCCTTTGGCTCTAGGCTGTGGGACCGTGAAAAGCTGGATCTGGATCTGCCTGAGAGGCCCGAGACCCTGGGCTCGCAGCCACTTAGAACCACGCACAGGACTTGCACTGCTGCCCTTTCTGGGGGGGAGGAGGGCACCTGAGGCTGTTTGTGGAGTTTTTATATCACGTGGCTCTGACATCTGTATTTACTTCTCTTTCTTTTCCACTAGATGGTGGGCTCCTCATTTTTGAGCTCACAGCACTTGGTATACAGCAAGTATTGAGAAGGCATTTGCTGAGTAGAGAAATGAATGAGTGAGTGAGTGAGTGAGTGAATGAATGAATGAATGAATGACTAAATATTGCCTCTGCTCTTGACTTACTGACAATTGACTGAGGAGACAACAGCAAACAAGTGGGATCCTCTGCCACATCATGTGACTTTCAGTGGCTTTCACTGTTTCGGGGTAGAAGCCCCTGAGCTCACAGTGGCCCAAGAGACTCTGTGAGCCGGTACCGTCACCTGACTGGACTCCGCTTACACCAAGCCCTCCCTGGTTCTGCTCCAGCTACACAAGCTTCCTTATGTTTCTTTTTGTGTGTGTGTTCAACAATTCATAAATAATTTTTTTATCTTTATTGTTGAATGTACTACAGATGTTCCTCATTTTTCCCCCATTGACCCCCCCCCACTCCTGCCCCCTTCCTGCCTGTTCCCACACTGTTGTCTGTGTGCATTGGTTATGCATATAAGTTCTTTGGTTTATTTCTTCTCACCCCCCAGCCCCTTTCCCTTTGAGGTTTGTCAGTCTAGCAACCAATATGCACTTCTTAATCCCTTCACATTTTCACCCATTCCCCCAACCCCTCTCCCATCTGGCAACCAACAAAATGTTCTTTGTATCTATGAGAATGTTTCTGTTCTGTCTGTTTATTTTGTTTGTAGATCCAATTGTCAACAGATATGTATTCACTGCCATTTTATTTGTTCATATATTTTATTTTTTTCTTCAAAAAGACACTTCATCATTTCATATAATAACGGTTTGGTGGTGATGAACTCTT